AGATCGTACAACTATGGTTTCAGTGCCGTCATGCAGTGGAAAAATTTGGCTCTAAAGTTTTGTCAGAACAACAACAGACCACAGAGCCTTCACCTGATTGTGAGCAAGTAAAAATTCTTCCCCCCAAATCATCTTCAATTGGTCTTTCAGCTCCTCATGGAGAGGTTAATTCCTCTGCTTCTCCAAGGTCAGAGGAACAATTAGCAAAAGAGGGGGGTGGGGTGGGGAAGAAGATATGTTTTCTGTCTGTCCACCTAAATTGATTCCACAAGATCATGAAGTAATTGGCTTAAAGGATTGCTTTTCTTCTATCCTTCTTTGCCCCGCTTTTCAGGAAAGGTTTGACTGTACTGCTGGTCAGGAAAAGTCCGTCTTTTCTGTGCCTGCCGTTTCGCTCCCCCCACCTTCCCCTCTTCAGGAAGAGCCTGTGCCGGTTTATGGCAAGCCTCAGCCCTTCTATAATATCAGGCAAAAGGCTACTGAACTGTATCCTGGTTTTGTTAACAGATTGCAGGATGCTTTAAGACAAATAGATAATTCTGAGGCTCGGAGGGAGTTGTTGATGTTTTTAGCAAAAGAAAGTGCTACTTCTGAATGTTGGAGGGTAATTATTGGTCTTGGGAACGATCGTGATTTGGCAGATATAATTAAAGCGTGTCAAGATATAGGAACAGGGAGGGTTATGTCTGCAACCTCCCATGGCCCTTTCGCCCAGAGGTCGAAACTAAAAGCAAAATGCCCAAAGTTATTTCGTTGGTTGATTTATACATTTACTTAGTCCTTTTTTGATTCAGATTTATGTTGCAGAATTGAATTCTTTTCGTAAACATTGGCTTTGTTAAATCATTATATGGATGATATTTTAATTGGAGCCCCAAAGATACAACCTAATTGACTTTTAGAAATGTAAAATGATTTAAGTGTTTGTGAATTGCAGATTGCTCCAGAAAAAGTACAACTTCATGAAATGTTACAATCTTTTTTTGCTCCAGTTTTTCTTGTTTAAATGTACACGAAAGTATTTTGCTAATTAATTTATGGCAGCTGTTGGGGACCTTTACTTGGGTTCGTCGGTAATTTTTCCTTACGGCATATATATACTTAAAGTTCTTTATTTGATTTATTGACCAAAGGAAAACAGTCCAGTGATCTCATTGTGATGTTTTTTCTTTTCTGCATCCCTTGCCACAGTTGAAAAGATTAATGAGATTTTGAGCATTCTGTTTGTGGATTGTATAAATTGTCAGCTAACTCTTTTGATGTTTTTTAAGACAAAAAGACTCTGTTTCAAAATGTTTTGCCATTTTTTCAGGCAGTTGTTGAATTAATAACCTTGAGTTTGTCGTAGAAATTGGACTGATTTGATTAATATTATTTTTCCTATTCCAAAATCTGATTTTCAACTTTATTTTCAGAATAACCTATCTCTTCAGTGTGCTTTAACTGACTATGTGGGCTGTATTTCATATCATTTGCCTAAAGATCTTCGGCTTGCGTGTTTAATGACTTTTCTTTTCCTATTTGTCCATTGCTTTCGTAAGATTGTTTTCTCAGATGGAGGGTGAACGAGAGGAGTAATTGCTTACAAGGACTCTCATGAAAGTTTCCTACCCTACAATACAGTTGTCTCCACAACATTTAAAATTGTTTGTTGCTATTTTAGCTTTCTAAATCTTTTTTCAACAAGCTTTTTAACTAAATTTCTGACTTTCATTATGTGTGTCAACTTATTTCTGATTTTCCAGGTGCTTACATCACATCCAGGATTGACTTAACCTCATGGCTGTTTTTTAACTTTGCAGCAACTATTCTAAGACTGAAAACATTTATATTTTGTTTCTCACATACGTAGTTATGTGTTTCTTCCAGGACCTTTTTCTTAAAGCAACAGTTATGCAGCTGTTCATGTTTTATCTACTTTCTTTTCAGATCTATTTTTTAATCATTTTTTTTCATCAGAATGCCAGAGGGCTGGCACAAGCTTGCCATATTCCACTCAACCAGGCCAAGCAGATTGGTTCATCTTATCCCCAATATTCTGGGGCATCCCTTCTGGGGACACGGAAGTTAATCCCCGTGGTTTGGCCTCTAATCAACTATGGCACATGGATGTCACCTATGTTCCCTCTCTGGCTCCCTGGAAGTATATTCATTTATCTATTTTTACCTATTCAGGAGTGTTTTGGGCCACATTTCAACAAGGAGAAACAGCTAATCATGTTATTTCTCATCTTTTTCAGCTATCACTATTTTGGGTCAATTTTTTTCTTTAAAAACTTATAACGGCCTATTTTTCAGTGGCCTTTTTGCAATTTTGTACAAATTGGAACATTGTTTTAATTCATAGGCTACCTTACAATTCCACAGGTCAAGCCATTGTGGAACGTGTTAATTGGTCCTTTAAGGACTGTCTTCACAAACAATATAAAAAAGAAGGGATCATATGACATGGAACATTTGCTTTCTACATGCTTGGTTCCTGTTTGAATCCTGTCTGCAGTAATTCAACACTTCATTGGTTTGAACTATAAGACTATATCTAGTTAGGGATTGATTGCCTATGATCCTCCCCCTGATGCAATTGTAGCAGTTCCTGAGAATACAACATGTGCTAAAGTAGTTAACTGTACATCTTCAAGTAAAAAACCTCACTGTTTTCATATTAGTTCACCTGCTTTAAATTGTACAGCTTTTGAGGAGATTTCCTTTCACTTTGCTTATGTTTGGTTCCCGCAAGGATTAAGGTTTAAGGTTTATTAAAATTTGTATGCCGCCCACTCCCATTGGGACTCTGGGCGGCTCACAGCAAGACAGAAACAGTTTACATTTAAAAATAGAAAAATACAATATTAAAAATTCACATCATCCATTACATCTAAGCGGGGGCTGGATATCCACCAACAGCCCCAGGCCTGCTGGAACAACCAGGTCTTAACGGCTTTACGGAAGGCCGGGAGAGTGGTAAGGGTCCGGATCTCTGCGGGTAGATCGTTCCACAGGGCCGGCGCAGCAACAGAGAAGGCCCTCCCCCGTGGAGCCGCCAACCAGCATTGTCCGGTTGACGGCACCCGGAGGAGGCCCAGCCTGTGCGATCTTGTTGGTTGTTAGGAGGTGAGTGGCAGGAGGCGGTCTCTTTTAA